TAATTTTTCCTTTGCTTAACCCTCATTTTTTGTTATAAATATTTACTCGAAAAAAACAAAATAACGAACATGACTTTTTTAAATTTTACTTGACAAATAAATCTTGCACCAAAAATTTACTTGAAAAATATAAAAAACAAACTTGGGATTAAAATTTTGATTACCATAACACAATTTTTGCCAAAACATATAACACAACTTTATAATTAAATGTCCATGTTTACAGAATCACCAAGTCGTGTTCTGGATAAAAATAAAAAGTACTAATGAGTAAAACAAGCATTGAGAGAAGATAAATTGGTTAAGGCTATACAATTGAAAAGTTTTATAATTTTTGAACTCTTTATTTTATTTAAGACTCTTTTGATTAATAACCTTGATTGTTTAAATGTTTGTTTTATGTTATCGATTACTTTTTTAATTGTTGAAATAAACAAAAACTTATTATTAATTTAAGTGTTGTATCATTTGATGCAATAATGTCTTCAAACCATCATTTGTTTATTGTTATATTATCGTTTATCTTGTGTTTGTTAGAAATGGGTTGTTTTACTGACGTTTAGTTACAAAACAAACCACTGGCCAAATAACGAACCTGGAAAATCGGGAAGATTTACCCATTATTTGGGTGATTTCCCGATTTTTTATTCAATAATTGAAACTGTATTGATTTTTAAGGGTTTTAAACTGTGTACCGTTGTTGGTTCAACAAATAGGAAAATAAAAAATAAAACAAATAAAAAAGAGTAAATAATGGGAAATTAGGACAAAGGGTTTATATAAATTTTGGAAACGGTACAGAGTTTTGGAAAACAGTTTATTTTAAATTATTTTTAATTATTATCATATTTTTCACAAAATCATAACTGAAAAAAATGACGCTTTTATGAAACAAGTTTGGCATCTAAAGAGTTCTTAGCGATTTCAAGGATGAAAACAAATATGGATTAGATGATTATTTGAAAGAAGGATGTTCTAACAATAATAAAAATGTCCAAAATAATAGTAATTCAGTCGAAGTTGTCCAATATGAAAAAACATTTATTGAAACTGATAAGTGTGAAGATGAAATAAATGATGCGAAAACGGATAAAAATGTTCTGATATAATAAAAACGACAATACATAAAAAAAAGAAAAAGTGAATTATCAAAACTAATGAAACGGAGCAATCGTGCAAAAGGTAACTAAACATTTCGAAATGTGAGTGAATTTTTAGTGTTGTTTATGTTTTATAAGTATTTTAATAACTTTCTTTTTTTATTTAAAACACGAATGAAATATCGGTAATTATGTTGTAATATATATAATATGTGTTAAGATATTTTTAAATTAAATTAAAATGACAATTATAAACTGCATTAATATTTAATGTAACTTTATAACGTATTTTATGAATATAACATTTTTTGTATTATATACCAATACAAATATAATTTACCTATGTTAAATTTTTTATATTTTTACACAAACATGCAATGAAATTATATTTCATTTATCAATTTTGAACATTTGAATCGTTTAAATTAATATTGACATAATAAACAACAAAAATTGTTATTTTATATTTTTAATAGATTAAACAAAAGTCACATCTGTATTAATTAAACAAAAGTACATAAAACAAAAATATGCTCATACAACCACTCGGGGCTGAAAAAAAGAAATAGTAGTTAATATTTTCTGTTTTGTTGTTAGTATCGTGACTGAATTTCCAGCTGCTACACATGACAGTGTTGTGTTTAAAACTTACCTGGATAGAAAGTATGTTGATGGATAAATATTGTTTCTTGTTGATGGAGGCTACAAATCTTGTTCGAATGGTGTCACTCCTTATTAATTTGATCTTTCAACTGAATACACCACTCAACAATTAAATGCAATTCTATACCACGATAACCTTCATTTTTCGTGTCCAAATATTGTCGAAATGTATTTGAAAGATTGGAATGCACTTTTAAATTAATAAGAAATCGATGGAAATTTTAAGCAAAGAATTATGGTAAACATGTTACAATTGCCCATGTTTTGTTGAATTTCAAAAATACCAAACGCCCATTGAAAAATGTTTATTTTTATATTTTCCACAACTATTTAATCACTGAACCTCGAAATAGAGATATTTTTATGACTCCTCTTCCACCAGCTACTATTAGATTGCTCGAAACTTTTATTTACAATGGTGACGTTTTTCCTTGTTGTCAATGGAGAAAGAGAATTTGTCGATGCGACAAACAATTAACAAATTGAATTCGTTTTTGCTTAGTTTCTGTTTTTGTAAATAAAAAATAAATAATAAATGTTGAATAAAAACAAATTAGATATTTTACTGCTTTTATATCTGTAGTTTCAGGAAACAACAGCAATTTTTTCCATTATACTATAATAAACTATAATTATATTATTTCTTATATTAAATGAATTGTGAAACTATATTTTAAATGGTAAATTATAGTTACTTGGAGAAAATATAGTTTACTTAGATAAAAATCGAGCACTTGCCAGAGTTCCCAGGACTCAAAAGAAATTTGACCACTCGCCAGAGTAGTTCTATTTTCAAATACCTTCAAGTGTGACATCATATCAATTAGTTACAAATAAAAAAACTTATGTTTAATTTAAACTTTTTTCAACATATTTAAAAAGTACTTAAGTTATCATTAAGGTTGACTTAAAAAAGTAAAATTTATTTAAATTATTCTGGTATACAGTATAAATTTTATTTTTTTTACCAAAAAAATACTAAAAAATAAAAATAAAAAGTTCGTAAAAATGTTAATTTGTAAAACTTAAAAACCTTGGTGTCTTTTCGGAAAGTAAAGAAAAAAAATCGGCATTTTCAAATTAATTACCTTTTAAAAAATCATCATTATTCACAAACGTTTTTTTAAATGACTATTTATTATATAAAACAAACAATAAGTTAATGAGTAATTTATATCGTCCACAACGTTTGGTAGTCATAAAAAAATAAACAAACAACATATTAATGATATACTGTCGGAATTATTTCTAATTTGCACAGATTATATCATAAGTTTTTTTTATAAATGATTTAAAAACTTGTTAAATACTATTAAAACATAATGTTGTTATATTGTAAATTATGAAAATGTGATATTATGTGCTTTGATATTGTTTTATTAAACCATGTCTTATTCTAAACAACGAATAAGTTATACATTTGATTAATTACACGACAAAAAATATTTCAACATGATAACCGAATTAAAAATCAATTTTATCAATATCAGAGAGAAATTATAATCTTCCAACTTTTTATAATCTATTAGTCGCAATTTCAACAACAAATAAAAAAAGTTAGTAGACAACAAAGTTAATACATATAAGATTAATTACAATACAAGAACTTCAAGTTTTTAAGACTGACTTTGTCATATGATTATATAATAAACTGTTTTCCAAAACTCTGTACCGTTTCCAAAATTTATATAAACCCTTTGTCCTAATTTCCCATTATTTACTCTTTTTTATTTGTTTTATTTTTTATTTTCCTATTTGTTGAACCAACAACGGTACACAGTTTAAAACCCTTAAAAATCAATACAGTTTCAATTATTGAATAAAAAATCGGGAAATCACCCAAATAATGGGTAAATCTTCCCGATTTTCCAGGTTCGTTATTTGGCCAGTGGTTTGTTTTGTAACTAAACGTCAGTAAAACAACCCATTTCTAACAAACACAAGATAAACGATAATATAACAATAAACAAATGATGGTTTGAAGACATTATTGCATCAAATGATACAACACTTAAATTAATAATAAGTTTTTGTTTATTTCAACAATTAAAAAAGTAATCGATAACATAAAACAAACATTTAAACAATCAAGGTTATTAATCAAAAGAGTCTTAAATAAAATAAAGAGTTCAAAAATTATAAAACTTTTCAATTGTATAGCCTTAACCAATTTATCTTCTCTCAATGCTTGTTTTACTCATTAGTACTTTTTATTTTTATCCAGAACACGACTTGGTGATTCTGTAAACATGGACATTTAATTATAAAGTTGTGTTATATGTTTTGGCAAAAATTGTGTTATGGTAATCAAAATTTTAATCCCAAGTTTGTTTTTTATATTTTTCAAGTAAATTTTTGGTGCAAGATTTATTTGTCAAGTAAAATTTAAAAAAGTCATGTTCGTTATTTTGTTTTTTTCGAGTAAATATTTATAACAAAAAATGAGGGTTAAGCAAAGGAAAAATTATTTAGAATTTATTTGTCTAAAAAATCGGGGCATCCCAGTACAGAGTTTTGAAAAACAGTTTACTTTGGTCATTAGTCTTGCAATATTTTTGTAATTTTTTCTTGTGCACAATTTCAACCGTTCACTATAACTTTCAACTTACTTGTTAATATTTTTGATGTTTTTTTTACAAACATCATGACACACTATAAAATGTTTTCATTACTTGTATTATCTATTTATTGTTTATATTTTAAAAATTACTACAAATGCTCAATTAGATTAAAGTCACAACTCGGAGCTAGCCAACTTTTAATGATAAAACATTTTTATAATTCAAAAAACTAAAGTGTACAGTAAAAACTTAAGAGAGCGGGCTGGTGTGGCAATTTTGTTTTTTTTCAAAAGTGGGCATTTTAAGCGAATCAAACCTTAATTACCGCTCTATAAAGAACTTTATTTTTAGTTTCGTTGAAAAATACCCTCTTTTGAAAGAATCAGCTTTTTAAAAGTACCGTTTTTGAAAAGTTTTACTGTATTTTGATTTGTGCACATAGGCGTTGTATTGCATAATTTTTTCCCTTTTGATTACTTTTTAATTGTTTCATTTTTATTATTGTATTGCTTTTATAACGTTTTGATTATTATGGAGGTTTAATACTAAATTGATTAAAATGTAAGTATATTGTATTGTTTTATAATTACTATATTGATACATATTTTTATATTTTGCTTTTTATATTATATTAAGTCAATAGTTGTTTGATTTTGTCAAAATCTCTCCAGTAATTCAATTTATATCAACACATTTATCTTCAAAACGAATAGAAAGATACAACTTTTTAAGGTTATTTTTTGATAATCGATGTATTTTCAAGCAAGATCAGGTGTTCGTCAATTTTGCCATTTTTTGCTTTTCAAAAACAGGGAGCCCCTCTTAACAATTTCCCAAAAAAACACTTGAGAAAAAAACAATTGTTTATTATCACCAATATTTTCACTAAAAGCAAAGTTAATTTTTGTTTTTTGTTACTTTTATTCCATTTGGTTCTTTAACCAACTTTTATTTATTTTTATATTGTTATTGAACAAATTTGGCAATAATATATACTGAAATAATGACAAATTCAATTTTATAAATCTTATAATATATGGAAAATTAATTATAAGTTAAATTAAATGTAATAGTTTATAATCAAGATAAATTTTCATAAAATATTTTGTAAAAAACATAACAAATTTTTTAATATAATTAATTATAATTTAATAGTTTGATAAATTCATTTTTTTATAAACAATATAACTTCGAAAAAGATCGATAGACTATTTAATGAAATAAAATATAATTGAATTTGACAATGTATAGTAAATTAACTATTAGTAAAAAAACACTAAAAAAACAAATACATTTTTGTTTATTTATAAAAATACATTGATAAAACTAAACAAAATGTATTAATATTATTATAAAATTTTAATGATTCATTATAATACAAATTTATAACATGATTGTTTCGATAATTAAATTGATCTTTAAAATATATAATATATCAAAATGTTACATCAAAATATTTTTCAATTTATCAACACTTATTATAATAAAACATGTATATCAAATAAATAACTGTATATATTATTTAAGTTAATGTATATACCAATTTAATAAAATCAATATCATTTTATCTTTTGCTTTTTGAAATTGATACCATTTATAGATTGCAAACAAAAAAATTTAAATTATCAAAACAAAAATAATTTAATATAATTTGCCTTTAGTTGGAATATGTACGAGTTGTCACATCAATAAAATCAAATAAAACGGGTTAATTAAGACTTTTGCAAAGACATTATATTTCAGAATAAATGTCAACCATATAATTGTCTATTTTTTGTGTTGTTTCAAAAAAAGTTCTTTGAAAATAACAACAATAATTAAAAAGATGATGTTTAACTAGCCCGATTATGAACACAAAAAGCAACTCATTATTTTCTTTAAACAAAAGTTGGTTTGTAGAAAATTCTATTCAAAATGTTTTGTTAAAAAACATTGAAAAAAAACAAAACTTTAAAATAATTTTTAATAGTTTTTTTTGAAAACAATATGATAAAAATAATTAAAAACTGACGCAACTTATAATTAAAACAAACTACACTATGTCTATTCCAGAGATATTTTTCACGAACAATATAATTTTGCATGCAAACAAAGGGGTTAAATGATAAATTCAATTTTTATTTTTGGTGTTTTATAAAACAACTTATAAAACGGACAATTGGCAATTAAAAATGAACAGTAAAATACGTATTATATATAAATATATTCCTTCTAAATATCGCAAAATCATTAATTGTTTTTTTTTGATTTGGTAAAACAAAATTAAATTTGCTCCAAAAACTACAAAAAAATTAAAACCATCAGGGGAAAATGCAAAAAGGGATTAGAAGAACCAATTTTAATTATATTTTTAATAAGTTGAATTATATTGTAATTGCTTTAATTGTTTAATAAGGCAAATTGACGATTAGAAAAAGAAAAACAACATTTTTAAATTATTTATAAATTGTCTAATTTGTTTTTGTGTTTTTTTACAATATTTTATTGTTTTGAAAAATGTGGAACAATCCGATTGAAACAAACCAAATAAAGCGTTTTAGGGTTTTTAAATCTATCTCATATTATTAAATAATTTATATAATAATTACTTTGTATTAGACTTTGTAAATTAGCAATAAACTATTTATGTTTATTTAGTTTTAAAAGACCCAATTCTAAATAAATAAAATTGTTTATAATAATTTCATTTAATTTTGTCGAATATAATTAAAATATAATAAAGTAATATCTTTAATTAACTTTATTAATACTATTTTTAAAAAAAATAAACTATAATAAATTATATGTTGTTATATAATTATTGTAAACAATAATTGCCTGGTCATTTTTTTAATGTAATAATTACTTGGACGAAATTAAAGTAAATAATCAATAGATTTAAAACACAAAGAATGGAAATTATATTAAAAAAAAACTATAACGAATAATTTATTTATCATAATGTATAATAATTAAAGAGTTATGAATGTGTATTTTTGGATTTTAATTATCTCAAATACTTTATTTTTCAAAAAACAATACAAGTTACTCAAAACAAGAAGGTTTCAGACGATAAAGATGGGTATAACCAACAATTGCAAGCAGTGAAGACAAAGACTGCTGCTTTGACTTCGGCCAAGAATGCAAGTGATAAGAAGATTTTATCATTGAACTCAGAGAAAGACGAATTAGAAGATAAGAACAGAAAACTTGATTCTTCCAATAAAGATGCTCAGAGAAAACTTGCTGAGTTGACAAAGAGAATTGAAGATGGACTGAATGACTCTGATGTGTTGAAAGCACAGAAGGCCGACTACGAAGCTCAAATCTAAGCGTTGAAAGATGACATGGAGAAGACTGAAAAAATTTGGCTGTTGCTAAATCTAATATGAACCAAAAAGACGTTGAAATTAATAACTTGAATGAACAACTTACCTAAACTGCTGATAACAAAGACAAGCTTGAGGCTGATGCTGAGAACACGAGTAGAAAGATGCTCAAGAGAAGCAATTGTCTCAATTGAAGGCTGACAATGACAATTTGACTAAAGCAAAATCTGTTGTTGATGCCAAATTGAAAGATACTGAAAGAGAAAAAGCTGCTCTTAACGAAGAAGTTGAAGCCGCAAATGAGAAGTTGAGAATTACTAAAAACGACTTGGGAAGAACCAAAGCAGAACTTGACCAACTCCAACAGGACTTTGACTACCTCAAGAAGAATGCCGACACCGATGTTGCTGATAAGAAGAAACTCAATGGAACTGTTAATGAGAGCAATAAGAAGATTGAGGAATTGAGTGCCAAAGTCGACTAATTTACTCACAAGAACAAGAAGTTGCTGAAGCCGACGAAGAGCTTAAAACAGTCAAGAAAGACAAATTTGCGAAAGAAAAAGAGGCAAAGAAGTTGAAAGCAGAAAACGACGAAATTAAAGAGAAGGTGAAAAATTTGGCTTATGACAAAGACCTACTTTCTTCTGAAAAGAAGAAACTTGAAGACGAATATGACCAACTCATTAACTTGGTTTATAAACACGAAGACGAGACCAACAACTTGAATGGTTCAATCAAAAAGTTACAAAAAGACTTAGAAGCAAACAACACCGAGTTTACTGAATTAAGAGACAGAACAGCTAAAGACAAGAAGAAAATAGCAGATTTGGAACAACAATTGCAAGACCTTGAATATAGACCAGTTGGGACTTCAAATATCGATCGAACTGAAGTCGTCAGAGAGACAACCAAATTGCTGATTTGGAAAAGGCGGTTGCTGCGTTGAAAGAACAGAACACTCAACTTGATGCTGCTAAGAAGGATATGAAAAAGCAATCTGTTGAAGACGCAACGAAGATTGAGAATAATGGATCACATATTAAGGCACTTGAAGCACAAAAGAAGATGGCATTGGACGACAAAGCGGAGGCCGAGAAGACTGCTGCGGACCAATCTGATAGAAGAAAGAAGATGGAAGACCAAGTCAAAACACTTAATGCACAAGTCTCATCACTTAAAGTCCAAGTCAGTCCACCGGCTTCTGTTGCTCAAAAAGAAAAGAACAACATGTTGAATGCAATAATAACTTAAGTTCGAGCCCAACTTGATGAAGAAAGACAGAAAGCTGACAGTGCAGATGCTGCTCGAAAGGCTTCTGAGAGCAAATAGCAGGAAGTTCAATCCAACTTAGATGAAGCAAATAACACCAAAGAAAAGTCGACTAAAAAGCGAATCACTTGATTGTCCAAGTTGATCAACTCTCTGATTGGAAGAAGAATAATGAAAATGATTTGGAGGAAATGGACAAGATGATTAACGACTTGAATGCCGAAGTTGACATGGCACAAACAACTTGATACTGCAAATGATGACAAAGATGGCAACGAAGCAATGAAATAGAAATACCAAGACGAACTGATGAATGTTAGAACTGAAATTGATCACGAAAAGAAAGACCACACTAAGACCCAATTGATTAAAGGAAAGTACAAGAAGGATATCGCTGAAATCACAGTCAGAGCTGAAACCCTTGAGAAGAACATCCAGATGGCTGAACAAGAGAAAGTCAAGACTGTGAGAGATCATAAAACCGCTATTGAAGAATTGATGAGAACAAATACTGAACTCGACGAAAAACAAGACAAATTTGACAAAATTGAAGACAATATGTCCGAGATGAAGACTGAATTGAGGCAACATTTAAAAACAGTTGAAAACACTTATGAGAATAAATTAACTGAATTGAATAAACAACTTGATCTTGAAAGAACCACTGCTCAACAGGCTAAAGCATAGAAGAAGAAATATGCAGACAAACTCAGAGAATCGAAACAGAAAAAAAAGAAACACAAAACGCAGCTGCTAAGACTAAGAAACAAGCCAAACAGTATGCCAGAAAGGTTGAAGAGGCTGAGAGAAAGCTTGCAGAATTCGAACAGAAAGAATCTACTTTCAACATGATTGTTAATTATTTATTTATCATTCCAAGTCTTGTCATATTGGTAACTGTATGTGTGAATATCAAAAAACTACATTTTTAAAATAAAATACAATTGTTTAAATATGAATATTTTAAAAGAAATACAATTATTTTTTTGTTTACCAAATAATTTTTTTTGTAATCACTTTTTTTAACATAAAAAATAATTAATTAATTCTTTTTTTATATTTATAATTATTTGACACGCATTTCAAACCTTTTGTTACAAGTTTTTTATTATTTTACGTATGTTTTTGACTTTAAATAATTATTGTCAGCCCAAGCATTTTGATGGATCTTCAAGGTCACCTTAAATACTTATCTTTTTTATGGAACTAAACTATAATAAAACGATAGTTAGTGAAAATATTAGCTATCGTTTTTAAATAGTATCACAATTTACCATTATATTTAGTAAAATTAACCATTAATATAGTACACGCTTAATAGTATAAAACCAATAAGAATAGTAATTGTAAATAAATATACCGGTTTTGCTATTATATATTAGGGGAAATATAAGGGAATATAAGGGAATTATAGGATTTATAATAATTATTTATCATTATTTATGTGTTATTTTTGTTAAACTTTTTAATGGCAACATATAAATAAACAATATTTAGTTAAAAAAATAAAAATTATTAAAAATAAATATTGAGTTTGCTTTTAATCATATTGATAAAGAATATAATTATTTAGCAATTATAACAATATCTATGTATTTTTCCCGATTTTTAACTTTAATAGTTAAAAAATTACATTTATAATTCTGTGGTTTTGGACTTAATTACAA